TACAAATAAAGTTCATACAAAAGTGTTTTACAAAGAATACATAAATGCGCTTCATGGAATTTTTTTTGTTCACATGTGCATGCGGAATGAAAAATGTTTTGCGTGCATGCGATTAATTACTATAAATTTTTTTGTAACAATTATAATTTTGTTGGTGAAAGTCATAGTTAATTCTGTGAAAAATTACTAGATATATTTTTATATGAAAATACCATTTAAATTGTTCAAATGTGACAAATAAAAGAATGGTCACTAATTTTTTAATTATTTGATAAACAATTATGGTTTATGAAAGAATTAAAATGATTAATCAATAATTAATTATATGATTATGTGTTTCATATATTTTCTAAGAATCCATGTAGTTAAATAATATTAATAAAATATCAATATTAATACAGAAAGAAAATTCATAATTTTTTGGGAATCCAAAACATGTCAAAACTTGTGTCTTTGTATCCCTAAGTATTGAATTATTAAATTATTCGATTAAAAATTAGAACTGACGTCCATGTACCATGAGCATAAGTTCAGTACATTAATATAAATTTTAAATCTGGTTAGGTATTTTTAAACAAAACTAAAGATGCCTACATATAACATTTATTGAACAATTTGATCTTTTTATATGGGTTTATCTACATATTTCAAGATAAATTAAAAATATAGTATTTTTATTTTAATGAATGATGCCTCATGCACTGATATAGTATCAAGAATAAAGAGTTTTGAGACCTTTGGTGCTTCTATTTTACAGTAAATGAAGTTTTAATTGGGGTTAGTCCACATTATAGGTGGTATATGAAGTTTACCTATATATATATATATATACTTAGAATGTGATTAGGTATTTTTAGACAATACTAAAGAGACTAAATATTATAGATAACATTTATCATAAAATTCAATCTTTTCGAAAGGATTAACCCACAAAATTCAAGATCAGTTTTAAAATATGGTATTTTTGTTTTAGTGCCTAGCTGCATCATGCAATGATATAATATGAATATTAAAGAGGTTTAATACGTTAGGTGTTCTCGTTTCTCTAGAAAATAGAGATTTTATGGGGGTTAGTTAACTAATTAGAACGTATCTGAATTTAAAAAAAATACTCATTTAGAAATTTGAAATGATGTCCATGTACCATGTAAATATGTTTAGCATATATGAATATAATTTATAGTGTGGTTAGATATTTTAAAGCAACATTAATGAGGGTAAAATTTATTATATGTAGAATTTATTGAAAAAATATATTTTCGTAAAATAAATTATAAAATATTGTATTTTGTTTTAATGCATAATTTAATCATGCAGTGACATGTGATGAAAATTACATAGGTCTGAGACCATATTTTTCCATGTTTCTATAGAAATTCAATAATTTATAGGCATTAGTCCACATAATTAAGTGGAATATGAAGTTTTATTAAATTACTCATTAAAGTATTAGAAATAATGGCCATGTATCATGAAAATAAGTTTCACACACATTAGTAAAAATGTATAATGTGACTAGGTATTTTTTAATCAACATGAAATAGCTTAAACTTCAATATATAGCATTTATCAAAAAAATCGATCTTTTTGTAAAGGTTAATCTACAGATTTCAAGATAAATTAGAAAATACAGTATTTTTCTTTTAATGCATAGATGCATCTAGCACATATATAGGATGAAGATCAAGAATATATGACGTTTTTGTTGTCCCAATTTCTCTACATTATAGAGATTTTATAGCGTTTAGTTCTTCGATTTACGTGGTTTGTGAAGTTTTATTAAATTACTTGTTGGAAAATTATAACTGATGCCTATGTACCATAAAAATAAATTTATGATACATTAGTATAAATTTTTAATGTGGTTAGATATTTTAAACAAAACAGGCTAAACTTAAGTACAAATAGCATTTATCGGAAAAATGGATATTTTTTGTAGGGGTTGGGTTAACCCACAGATTTCTAATAAATTTGAAACTATGATTTTTTTTTGTATTTATGCATAGATTCATCCAATATTTATATAGGATGAGTATTAAAGATTTTTGATAGTTTAGTTGTCCAAATTTCTCTAGAAAATAGAATTTTTCTAAGGTTTAATTCATTGATTTTTGTGGTATATGAAGTTTATTAAATTCTTCGGTTGAAAATTAAGACTTATGTCCATGTACCATGAACGTAAGTTTTTTACATTACTATAAATTTTGAATGTTGTTAGTTATTTTTAAACAAAACTAAAGAGGCTTATATATAACATTTATCATAAAAGTCGATCATTTTGTAGGGTTTAACCCACATATTTCAAAATAAATTAGAAAATATAGTATTTTTTTTAATGAATTTTTGCATCATGCACTGATATAGTATGAAGAATAAAGAGAGTTGAGACTTTAGATGTTCATGTTTCTCCGGAAAATAGAATTTTTATAGGGGTTAGTTCACTTATTATGTGATAATGAAGTTTAAGTAAATTACTCATTGGAAAATTAGAAATGATCATTTACCATGAAAATAATTTTAGCATATATATATATATATATATATATATATATATATATAAATTTGGAGTGTGGTTAGGTATTTTTAAAAAACACTAGAGAGGTTAAATAGTATAGATAGTATTTATAAAAAAATTCTATCTTTTTCGTAGAGGTTAATCCACATATTTCTAGATAATTTAGAAAATATGGAATTTGTGTTTTAATGCATATATGCATCATGCGATGACATAGTATGAATATTAAAGAGGCTTAAGATCTTACGTGTTCATATTTCTCTAGAAAATAAAGATTTTACAGAGGCTAGTAAACTAATTAGGACAAATCTGAATTATAAAAACAAATACTCATTGGAAAATTATAAATGATGTCAATGTACCATGTAAATATGTTCATCATACATTAATATGCATTGGAGTGTGGTTAGTTATTAAAACAAAGTTATTAATGAGGCTAAACTTTAGTATATATAAAATTTATTGGAAATAAATCGATCTTTGCGTAAGATAAATTAAAAAAATATAGTATTTTGGTTTAATGCATAACTTCATCATGTAATGACAAGTGATGAAAATTAAAGAGGTCTCAGATCTTATTTCTCTCAATTTCTCAAGAAATTATTTATTAAAATATTAGAAAAGGTGTCGATGTACCATAAAATAAGTTTAAAATACATTAATATAAATATATAATGTAATTATGTAATTTTTAGTCAACATGAAAGATCTTAAACTTCAGTAATTATCATTTATTAGAAAACTCGATTTTTTTAGGGGTTAATGCATAGATTTCAAGATAAATGATAAAAATATGGTATTTTCTTTTAATGCATAGATGTATCCAACACATATAGATGCTGAAGATCAAGGATGTCTGACATCTTTATTGTCCTAATTTCTCTAGAATATAACGATTTCATAGACCTTAGTTCTTTGATTTATGTGGTATATGAAGTTTATTAAATTACTCGTTGAAAAATTATAACTGATGTCTATATACCAAAAAAAAAGTTTAGGATACATTAGTATGATTTTTTTTTAATGTGGTTAGATATGTTAAACAACACTAAAGAAGTTAAACTTAAGTACAAATAGCATTTATTAAAAAAAATCTCAATCTTTTCGTATGGATTAACCCACAAATTTCAAGTTAAATTAGAAATTTTTTTTATTTATTTATGCATAGCTGCATCCAGCACTGACATATGATGAATATCAAAGAATTTTGATCTATTTATTGTTCAAATTTTTCTAGAAAATAAAGATTTCATAGCTCTATATCTACCACTGATATAGGAAAAGTATAATTTTATAAAAGATACAATAATAAAGAAACAAATGCATGTGTAATTTACTAAAAAAATTTGTTAGTGGAAAAAATATGTTAACGTTGTCATATAATCATATTTTGACTATACATATATTTTCACATGGCTTCAAATAAATTATGAATATATTTATAATTTCAAATAACTTACAAAATAGTAATAAGATATTGTACACATGTTCAAATGACTTTGTTGAAAAAAATAGTATTTTTGTAAAAATATAAATTATAAAGTATGGTACATTTATTTTTATAAATGAATCGCACAGATTCTTTACCTAATATAGATAAAAACAAAATATCAAATCAAAATAAAAATCAAGTATCTTCTTCCTCATCTTCATCATTTACAATAAATTCAAATAGTGATAATGTGTCTTCTTCATCATCAATTTCATATTCCAAAAATGTCAATAGTTGATGTTAATAAACATTAATGGTCATGGTACTCTAATATGAGAGACAATATAAATAATTTACCATGTTCATAAATTTCATATCACTTTAACAACTTTCTACTACATATCAGAATTTACACATTTAAAAAAAATATTTGTTAGAATCTGCGATCTAATGCTAAAGGGGGACATTGAAATCACTGTTGTGATAGAAAGACTAAGTAGATTATAAGCCATTGCTAAGAAATAGCTATACCTATGAATATTATCTTTTCAGAATTGAAAAATGTTTAAGCTCTCAAAATTATCCATATCCAATGATGGTTATCAAAATATTGATTGAGCTATATAAATACGTGGTGGTTAGACTTTACATTATATGTATTTAAAATCCAGTTTAATAAGTTGCTCTATCCGGTTTGATTTGGTTATACGTTCCGGTTTATATAATTATATTGGTAAATAATGAATTACACACACAAAGCACAACAAACGTCACTGACACCGAAACAAAACCAACGTTCGGTGTAAATAGAAAATTAATAGAACTTTCACGAGAGAAAAAGAAGCATGCAGAAGAAGATGGAGACAATGAGATTAGAGAGGATCAAACTAAAAGCAATAAAAAAGAGAGAGATGAAGAATCTTAAAAGCCAAAAATCATTAAAATAAGATCAGAGAATAACTAAGTGCGAAGCAATCTCCTCTTTAACTTTACTGTCGATATTACTAATCAATCTCAGAAGCAGAGCACTCTCTGTTCTGTTTTCACAAAGGATCTCAAATAAAACCATTGTCCAGCAATCGATTCGCCTGAGGCATAGGAGAATAATGGGGTTTCTCTTTGGTTTGTTCATAGGAATCGCAGTTTCTATTGGTTTGGTCGTCGCATTTGCACGCTATTCTCATGTCAGATCCACTCGTCGAGCTGAATTGGTTAATATTTTTTTCTTTATGATTTTTTTTCTTTTGTTTGTGATGGTTTGCATGGAGATATATAATGAATAAGTAAGAGAGAACGTAATATATTGATAGGCGAGAACCATTGCTGCATTTGCAAGAATGACAGCAGCAATGGTTCTCGCCTATCAATATATTACGTTCTCAATGCTGCATTATTGCTGCATTTGCAAGAATGACTGTTCAAAAAAAAAAAAAAAAAAAAAAAAAAAAAAAAGAATGACTGTTCAAGATTCAAGAAAACTTCTCCCTGGAGAGTTCTATCCTTCTTGGGTTATATTTTCACAGAGACAAAAGTTGAGCTATTCTACTTACTTATTATTTACATTATCTCTTTTACTTCGATTATTAATATGGATGATATATAAATGGAGATTGATACTTGACCTTGATAAAATTGCAGTTAAATTGGCTTAATCTTGAACTTGAAAAGATCTGGCCTTATGTAAACGAGGTAACTTTTAATCATGTTTACACCATCTATCTTATTAAAATGCATTAGCTTTTTTAATCTTTGATATATCCTATGCTTACACATGTATATAGGCAGCTTCTGACCTGATTAGAAGTAGTGTGGAACCAGTTCTTGAACAGTATACACCAGCTATGATAGCATCTCTCAAGTTCTCTAAATTAACACTAGGGACTGTGGCTCCTCAGTTCACAGGTTGGTGCTGTTGGTTGCTATAAATAAGTTGAGTACATTTAACAAATTATACTATTAGTGTTGGTTTGAATGAGTTTACCCGTAATTTGGCTAATACAAATGACCTGCAGCTAAAACATTTGGCGTAAATGGAGGATTATGTCAAGATGTATCATTTTAGAAAATCTTGTTCATGTAGCTGTTTTGCTTAAATCATGTGATTTAGAGAAAAAAAGTCGTAACCAGCAACTGTTCATGCATGTAGGCTAAGTACATGTGATCTAGAGAGAAAATGTCGAAAGCAAGTTTTGAAATGTTCCTATAGAAGTTTTGTAGATGCGGGTTGAATTTTACCCACCATGCATTTGTTTTGCTTAGTTTGTAAATTGCATTGATAAGACATTTGAAAACCGTCGTGCTGCTCACTCATTTTCAGGAGTGTCCATCTTAGAAAGTGAAAGTGGACCTAATGGAATTACGATGGAACTTGAAATGCAATGGGACGGTAATCCAAAAATCGTGTTGGATATCAAAACTTTACTTGGTGTGGCTTTACCGATTGAGGTAACTCACTAGTCAGCACCTGTCCTAAGTTTTAAATGGCCAGAAGCAAAATAAAATAGAAAGACCAACACTACAAGAAAACTAAGAAGTTACTAGAAAATTTTACTAGGAAAATAATTCCTCGTAAATTTACTACGAACTTACTTCGATTTTACGAGGAAACAAGTTTTCCTCGTAAGATCCTCATACATATACGAGAAACATATTTCCTCGTAACACCGTAATAAGCTTACGAGAAAATTACGTGACAAAAGTCTATTTCCTCGTAAGCTTGTAGTAAGTTAATTTCCTCGTAAAGTCCTAGTAAAGTATTACTACGAAATTAAGAGGAATAGATTTGTTACTACGAAATTAGGAGGAACTGGATATGAAATATCGAATTTAAATCAAAAACGTGTTTTGTACCTATATTTCCTAGCAATTTCCTAGTAAATGCTCAGATTCGAAAATTTCTATAAATACCACAATTGTGATTCATTTGAAACACACCAAAAAATAATCAACTATAAGCTTGATCAAACACAAAAACGTGTTTCCTCGTCAAGTCCTAGTAAAACATTACTACGAAACTAAGAGGAAATGTTCTTTTCCTCGTAATTTCGTAGTAAAATTTTTCCTCGTAAAGTCCTAGTAAAACATTACTACGAAATTAGGAGGAAATGTTCTTTTACTTCTAATTAGCGAAGAACTTGTTAGAAAATAACTATTTTAAATCTAAAACGTGTTTTGACTATAACTTTCCTCACAATTTCCTAGTAAATGTTCAGATTCGAAAATTTCTATAAATACCACCATTTCTTATTCATTTCAAACACACCAAACAAATAGAAAACACTCAATTCATAACTGAAAGGAGTTCACAGTTAACAGAATAGTTTCTTATCAACTCGGCATAGCTTTTCCTCAAAGAAATAGCTTGGGGCTTTTCCTCAGGTAGATAGTTCGAGGAAAGCTATGCGGGGTTCATAAAAACCGTTCCGATGATTGTATACTTCTTTTAGTTTTTTTTTTTTTTTTTGATTTGGGGTTTAAGAAGATTTAGAGGTATAAGTTATGGAAGTTGGTATAGGTTTAGGTTTTAAGGTTTAGGGAATTTATATTAGGTGGTTAGTTTAGGGAATTTATATTAGGTTGTTTAGTTTTGAAAATTTGGGGTTTAGGTGTAGAAGAGGTTATAAGTTAAGGAAGTTGTGGTTTGGTGTTTGGGGTTTCGAGTTTAGGGATTTACAAACCCCATCCTCGTAAAACCCTAGTAAAAAAAAACACGGGACTCGCTGTTTCCTAGTAAATTCCTAGTAAAATGTTTCTTCGTAAAGTCCTAGTAACAGAATTACTAGGACTTAACGAGGAAACCTAAACGCGGGACTCGCGATTTCCTCGTAAAGTCCTCGTAACCCTAAACGCTGGACTAGTTATTTCCTCGTAAAATTACGAGGACCTTACGAGGAAACCAAATTCCCTATATAAGTCGAGTCATCCGATTTCTCTCATTTGTAGCAATCTTCTCTCAAAAACCTCTTAAGGTAATATCTAATTCCTAGTTAAGTGATTAGATTAGGGAATTTAGATTAGGTGGTTAGTTTAGGGAATTTAGATTATGTTGGTTTAGTTTTTTTTAACTGTTTTTTTTTAAATGATACTAGTATATCAATGATACTAGTTGTCGAGCCGGGATGACGACTTCGTTCGTCAATTTAACGAGGATGTTCGTAGTTTAGTTTTTTTTTTCTTTTTAATTGTATATGAATTTAAAACTTAAATATTTAGTTATTTATAAAATATTTTGTTATTTCTTTTTTATTTATAATTTGGATTCTTTAATTTTTTAAAAATATATTATTTATATTTATTTTAATTAATTTTTTTAATAGGAAAAAATATTTCGAAGTAAATTCCTAGTAAAGCATTACTAGGAAATTACGAGGAAAGTGGAAAAATATTTCGAAGTAAATTCCTAGTAAAGCATTACTAGGAAATTACGAGGAAAGTGAAAAAACATTTCGAAGTAAATTCCCAGTAAAGCGTTACTAGGAAATTACGAGGAAAGTGCTTACTACGACTTTACGAGGAAACTGGTTACTACGACTTTACGAGGAAATGTGTCTCCACGCGTTTACGAAGAAATTGTTCCTCGTAAATTTACTAGGAAATTACGAGGAAAAAGGCTTTACGATGAACGATTTACGACAAAGCGCATTTCCTCGTAATTTCCTAGTAAAGGATCATTTAGTAGGAAATTACGAGGCAAACCCGTCATAGTAAAACTTGTGTTTTCTTGTAGTGCAAGTTTTAAATGGCCAGAAGCAAAATAAAATAAAAAGACCAAATTAAGAATCGAACCTAAGAGCTCTTCGCATTACTAGTGATATATAAACCACTACACTAAGGATAGTCTACTAAATAAAAGACCAAAATCTATTAATAAAATTTGAAGTGCAGAAGCTAATGCTTCACTGCATACCTTCCCCTCAGGATCGCCACTGTACTAGTTAAGCTTTCACTACAAGAAAACAGCAGGATACCGACGGCCAAAACCGTCGGAAATCCGTCGGAATACGCGTATTCCGACGAAACTGTGACGAAGTTGTTCGTCGGTATCATTTTGTCGGAAAAAAAAAATTCGTCGGAAATCCGTGACAATTTCCGACGAATTCCGACGAATTCCGAGAGACTGTAATTCTGACGAACTACCGACGACACTTCGACGGACACCGTCATCAGAAATCCATCGGTATATGTCGAGAGAAATCCATCGGTTTATTCCGACGAACTATGTCGTCGGTATATTCCGACGAAATATGTCGTCGGAATTTTCGTCGGAATATTCCGACGACTTAGTTCGTCGGTATATTCCGACGAACATAAGTCGTCGGAATATTCCGACGGATATGGTCGTCGGAATAAACCGATGAGAATTGTCGTCGGAATATTCCGACGACCAATGTCGTCGGAATATTCCGACGACCAATGTCGTCGGTAAGTTTGATTTATTTTTTTTTTTTAAAAAATTTATATTAATTTTTCATTTTATAATTTTCGTTTTAAATTCGTAAATAAATGTAATTTAAAATTAAAAACTTATAATATTATAGAATTTAAGTTTACACAACTGATAATAAAAAAAAACATTCAGAAAGTTTTAAACACACAAAAAGACAACTAAGAACCCGAAGGAAACAAACGATCTAGCCTCGCCAATATGTCGAGGTTCGTTTGCTTTTGATCCGCCA